AGTGAATAGTGAGCATGAAGAAAACAAATGGTTGAGTTCAACAACTCCTCCTGTCATTGTATAATTGACTTCATCACAGCCAGAAAGTAAATGGTCTCATACTTGTACAGAACTTTTCTATGCATTGCAGCACAAAGCGCTTTCACACTGTTTGGCCATTTACCCATTTACACTCACATTCACATCACTGGGAGCAACTGGGGTTTCACTGTCTTGCTCAAGGACACTTTGACATGTGGACTGGAGAAGCTGGGAATCGAACTGCCAAAGTCATTGCACTTTTATGGTAATTGTAGTTTTTATAGCAGAAGTATTGCTTTTTGTACTTGTATTGGTATCGGCAAGTACTCAAACGTGAGTACTCATGGTTCTGAAAATGGTATCGGTGCATCCCTGTATATGTGTGAAGCGTTTTAAGAGGCTAATATGTTGACCGTGCTGCTCTACAATCAGGCTCAGCTCCAGAAACAGCCGTGTTGGATCTACTAGTGTATGTGCACAGTTTTGCGTAGGTCACTTTTAGCTCAGCTGTTTTTGTAGCCTGTCTGTGTAGTGCTGACAATAGACTGACTTATTTCTTTCCACTGCGGTTTAACTTTTCATCTCTCTACCATGAGCCAAACAGTGTAAACTTCAGCCTGGAAGGTTTTGAGGTATGAAGAAATGCCCGGGCTTCCTCTCCACCTGCACATGAAATCTACAGCAGAGAGCAGCCGGGTCTGTTCTCTGGAAACAGGAGTAGCGGAAAGCAGGCTGGTGGCGCTGTAGCTGAGAAAGTAAATGAATCATGTTGATAAAGGACCCGCCCTCTGACACCTCGGCACTGAAGCCAGGGTTCCTGGAAATGTGATGGACATGGCAAGTCACATGTCTGAGCCCAGCGACGGCTTTTCTTCATGTTTCCTCAGCAGGGGAAGCCTAAATAGATGAAATAGTCCTTTACAGGTTTAGGCTTTTGGATGAGACTTCCATTCAATTACAGGCTCCAGTAAAACTCCCTCTTTCTCTCAGACCACAGGGGTTCGAGTCCTGGGCCCCCATCCAAAGTAAGGTCTCCCTGCCTTCCTCCCAGATGTTAGTCCAGTGTCTTGGTATCCCCTGGACAGATGACTACTAAGCTCTTGTTCATGTATTATCTTCCTCTGAGTGTGTGCAAGCAGCAAGGCACTCCAGTCCTTATGGACGGTCTTTAGGCCTTTGAGGAGTCACGGGAAGTGTTTTAGGGAGGTTTTTAGGATTTGAATGCCTATTAAGAGGTTTCAAGGTGTCCCGGAGGAATTTCCAGGGAGAAGAATTGTGATCTGACCTTTCTGTCTCTGAGTTCTTAAAGGCTTAGCATAGCCTTTCAACATGTGTGGGAGTCTGAACACATGCTCAAGATCATCAGTACCTCCCACAATGTGTTGGTGGTGGGTAGCTGTGTGTGGTCCACTTATATACATCTTCAAGGTCGTTATGGTGCATTAACGTTGGCCCACATTCTGCAGTGAATCGTAGTGAATGCTCATGCTAACAAGGTAAACAAGAGTTTCCTTAGATACGCTTTAAGGGAATTAACAGATGAAAGTTGGCCTTTTGGATGACTCTGACACATTTATATCTTTGATGTTAATCGATATGAATTTGCCCCTTTCAAATAAACTAATAAAGAAAGAAATCATTGATTCCTCACAATTGGATCCTCTGGATGAGGTCCGAAGCTGCAAAAACCTGGTCTCCCTAATTCCTGAACTGGGATGTGGGTGCATCCAGAGGAGTCGAGCCTGAGGACCTGGCTCATAGCAGAGCAGAAGTGTAGGAAGAGCTCTGAAGCTGATGGGTAACATGTCAGTTCTCCAGCTGACTGGTACGTGAAGCCGTCACTTATAGCCTTGTACTTGTTGTACTTGCAAGTCATGCAGCAGTGCAAGTGTTAGAAACGCTTCACCAGCACTGAATAGCCAGAAGACAATGGAGGACTTTTATCTCTGCTTCATAAAAACTCACCCACTTCACTTGTGTATGAAACAAGCAGCCTGTGCTGTGAATGGAGGCTCAGCAGGTCTGCTGAGGTTTGTCGGGTAATCACTCCAGCTCTCTGCCTGCGCCCGTCTCTCTCTCTCACAGTGAGTGCTGATCAGGATCACTGACTGATATCCCTCTCTCTCAGCCGCCGAGTGACCTTGAAAGGAATGTGGCCTGTTGTAATGAATACCCCTCAGAGTGAATGGAGAGGAGGAGCAGGGCCCGATGTTTCCCAGTGCAGGCGGCATTGTATTGGAGCTGTGTTCTTGGTGGAGACTCGACAGCCAATAGCAGAGGCTTAAAACAGGGCCATCCCCTCTGTAAGAGGAGTGTGTGAGAGAGCTGGTTGGTGAGTTTCCTGATCTTCAGGGGGATTCCCAGCATTCCAGGTGGCCATGTTATTATTCTTAAAGAGCAGACTATAGGAGCTGGATGACTGCTTTCTCCTGTTACCACAATAACAGCCTTTAACCAGTCGGTAAATCAGTAAGCTGCACAGCCAGCTCCTGGCCGAGAATCACAGGTATAGAGACGGAGTGCGTTTAGGCCACACCCGAACCGAGGGGGTGGAATTCATCTCGCTCTATTGACTTTGGATTGAGTGAAGGCACCCCTTTGACAATTTGGTCTTTTTATTTCCTAGGAAATCACTGTTGCACTCACATGCCATCATATTTTGGTGTAAACTCAGGCCCTGAGGACAGATGATACAGACAAGTTATTGACACACAGGCTTTAGACAGTTGTAGATCAGTTGTGAATGTGTGACTCCTTTATCACATGCACATGGGGAAGAGTGCATCACTAAAAGCTTCAGAGAATAAATGAAGGACAAGTAAACCTGTGATTCTTACTTAACTCCACTCTCCTTTGTCTCACAGCTCATCAGTCTCTAACACCAGTCAGGGAGCAGCTCTGTGTTTCTAAAAGGAGAGGAGTTACCAACAGCTGTAACACAGAAAAACTATCACACTTCAGTTTGTTTTTGAGCTCCTAAAGGCTAAATCATGGCTTCTGCATACCCTTGTATGGACACGCATAATGGACATGCACGTTTCTGTTCTTCAAATCAAACCTTCTGTCTTCCTGCACCTTTGTTTTTCAAACTTTGCAGTACATGCGCAGTCAGGGATTTTTGTTGTGTGGAAGTCTGTGCAGACACAAATTTCTGGTCTGCACGTGTTCCCTGGCAGACCTGGACAGATGAAATTAACACCAGTGAACCATATCGAACGCGCAGGCACAGAAAACCCAAACAGCCCTTAAGTTGCCAACATCCTGTGTGAGATGAAACAGCATGTGCTTTGTCCAGAGTTCCCTTCATCATTGGCATCGCGGGCTCAGTCTCTCCTCAGGAGACAGAGCAGTAACCCCGTTTGATTGTCGTAGAAAATGTCAAACTAACACAGGTACAGTATTTCACAAGTCAACCTGTGCCTCTAATAGTTTTATTGTTGACATAGGCCCTACACTGCCTCTTTGGTGTGGTAACGGCCTTAGTTTCCTGACCATGTTTCAGTTTCACACTGAGTTATTGCACACAAAGAGCACTTTTCTAGGTTCGGACAGGTCACAAATATCCATCTGTGGATAATGGGACGTTGGTGGAGGGGAGGGCTGCCTGGAGTTTGATTCACACAAAATGCCAGTCAGAATGATTAGTGTACGTGACGAGGCACATTGAATGATGCTTCACATTTTAGCCCTGACACACTGTAGTTTTTACGCTTTGTGTTTCTGTGGTGGCTATGGTGAGACTGTGCTGGCACATCACAGGTGCTCCATGCAGAAAACTGGCTTTTAAGCTTTCTGTGTATAGTACAGCACTGTATAGACCTGACGTTTGTGATGTGCCCTGTGGTGTGTGAGCTGTCTGGGCTTCAGGGGATTTTGTTGTTGCCATTGTTTAGTTGGCCAGACTGGCATTAAAGCTGACTCTGCATCAGCTCTGTTGGTCTGTGGTGTAGGTGTATTGCAGACAGGTGACAGGTGAGCTGCCATTCATACATTTGCCCTCTGTATCTCCCAGTTCATGGCACTGACTTTTAACGTGTTTCTCACCCTCTGCCCTCTCCTCTAGATGGAGTCTCCGGTCTCCACCCCTGCTCCTCCTCCTCTCCACCCCCTCACTCCTGTCACCAACAGCGACATCTCATCTCCTTGTGAACAGATCATGGTTCGCACGCGCTCAGTAGCGGTGAACACGGCAGATGCTGCACTGGCCACCGAGCCGGAGTGCCTAGGACCCTGTGAGCCAGGCACCAGCGTCAACCTGGAGGGCATCGTGTGGCAGGAGACGGAGGACGGTGAGAGTCTGACACACACCCTGCAGCTAACGGCGACAATCACATCCTGACACACAGCTCACATCTAGTGCAGTTTGGGACTGTACCTACAGAAGAATTCCTCATAGCACAAGCTCCGTTTTCTTTCACTATTTAAGCGCATTGGCAAAAGGTCAGCTTAAAACCAGCTTAGATAGATGGAGTGTGGGTGGTCAGATCCATTGATCTGGATCAATACATTGAACTGACTCCGACCTGCAGTGCCGCTGCCGTCAGAACAGCTGTCTGTCATCAGGGCAGTGAGAGGAAGACAGTCTATGGAGGTTATGCTTCATTAAACGCATTGGAGAGAAGAAATAGACCTGAGATGTAAAAAACACGGGGGTACAGGGTGATGTGTCTCACACTCATGTCTCTGAGTCAGGTATTGGAGTTTTATCTGTTGACAGGGGCAAGTGACAACACTAAAATACTCCACAGTCACTGCAGCACTGATGGGACTCAATACCAGAAACCTGCTGGATGCAATCCAACATGTGCAGCAGTAGCAACGGGAATCACATCTGACAGGTCTGCTTCCTGCTGCAGTAACACCTTCTGTGGGTTTATGAGGCTGATTGTGTGTGTCGTGTCTGTGTGTAGGCATGCTGGTTGTTAACGTCACCTGGAGGAACAAGACGTATGTTGGAACCTTGCTGGACTGCACAAGACATGACTGGGCCCCACCAAGGTACACATGAGCGCACTTACTAACCATAAATTAACCTAGAAATATTCCTGGACTCTGTCCCAGAATAGCTGTAAAGTGAAACATATTTCTGCAAACATAGTAGGTTGACTGTTTAAAGTCAAACTAAAGCTTGGGAATAGAGCTGGGTGGAAGTAATTGTATCTCTGCAGCCTTTTAATATTGTGAGATTGGTGTAATGACATTCTGGGCATCAGTGCAGAACCTGTTGACAGGTAAAGCAGGTGGGAATGCCTGTGTTCGACCAGTGACGGTAGAAACTGTTTAGCAAAATCTGTGGTTATTATTGCTGTGCCAAGAAACACTTAAGAAATAGATCAGTCAGTCAAAACCTTTTCTCTAGCACCTTCATACAGGATCATGCAAAGCAGTTCTTTCCAGATGAGTGTTGAAAGACAGAATGCAGGTGAACATTAAAACAAGAAAACTCAGTTAAGACTAATGCACACATTTTAAATACTTGAAAAAAAAAATCTATCAAACACTTGAAATGAATGAGCCCATTTTACCTGGTTAGTTCATTTTTATCAGATCTGAAGTCTTTTCTGTTCTATCAGCCTGAAAACGGATGCCGGTTGTTTATCTGGCCCGAGAGGAAAACTCATCAGACTGGCAGCGTGCAAGCTGAAATGAAATGGGAGTGCCAGATTAATGGCCTGTCACTCCTGCACACACCCAGACATTGTAGAACAGGCAGGAGAACAAAATAAATGATATACAAGTTAAATGTAATGAAGATGAAGTTGACCAGGCACAAGCAGCAATGAGAATTCCTGACACGATTAATTCAGGCTTCAACAACAAAGTGCATTTAAATTCCATCACTGACACAACCTGAGGTGCAGCGTGGCTCTGCTGCAGAGCTGTGAGGAGCCGAAACACAACAACGAGCTTGTTGTCATTACTGTTCAACTTGAGTGTTTTCCAACAATGCCATGCTTCCATGTTGCTCGCCAAATATCACACCAGTATCTGAATGAAAACATTCCACTGCTGGAACGGTCACATTTGCTTCACTGTGAGCAGGTCTTCTCAGTATCTGCCTGTGCTTTCAGGTTCTGTGACTCTCCCACCAGTGATGTGGAGATGCGAAGTGGTCGTGGTCGAGGGAAGAGGATGCGTCCCAGCAGCAACACGCCACTCAATGACAATAGTAACTCCTCGGACAACAAGGGCAGTGGCAGCAGCAAGACACGTGGTGCAGCTGCAAACAGCAAAGGCCGACGAGGCAGTCAGACAGCCATCGGTGCCGAGGATGCCAAGGCCAGCCCGTCTTCTGCCAAGAGGAAAACCAAACCTGCCTCTGACATGGAGCCCACCTCCAGCTCCGAGGACACCAAGGCTTCAAAACGCATGAGAACCAACTCCACTGGTGCTGCCACCCCCTTACCTGGAGGTAAAACTGACCCTCTCCCCCCTCCACAGCTGGACCGCACTTGCCCCTCTCCTGTACTCATTGACTGCCCCCACCCCAACTGCAACAAGAAGTACAAGCACATCAACGGGCTGAAGTACCACCAGGCTCGAGCACACAATGACCAGGATATCCGAATTGACCATGATGGAGACAGTGAATACGGAGATGACCCCGCCTCCTGCAATGGTGCTGCCATCTCCCCCACCCGCTCCACCACACCTAAAGGGCGAGCATTTGATGTCCCCTCCCCCTCATCAGGGAAGCTAATGTCAAAGGGGAAGAAGAAGTGTGGGGAGGCTGAGCCAGAGGTGATGGATGGCGGCGAGGAGGGGCCGTGCTTGACTGACGAGGCCAGCAACGACGGGATGGACGACAGAAAGGCCAAGAAGATGGTGGCCGGAGGCAAGCCTGACAAACTGAGCCAGAAAGGTTTGAAGCCAGCCCGGCCCGTGGGCCCTGCTGCTGCTGCTGCCGGAGCCCCCTCACCCTACGCCCTGCAGACATCCTCTCCCGCCCTGGGCTCAGTGGTACAGCCTGTCCCCAAGAGCCCCCAGCTGAAGAACATCCAACCTAAACCACTGGCTGACCCTGCACTCACCAAGGACAAGAAGAAGAAGGACAAGAAGAAGAGAGAGGGGGGGAAGGAGGGAGACAGTCCGAAAGCGATGGGTAAGGGGGGCAGACCAGAGGAGGGGAGGAGCCCGTACTTGGAGGGGGACGCCTTGCTCAATGGCACCACAGAAGCTCACCAGAGCCGGCTGGCCAGCATCAAGGCCGAGGCCGACAAGGTGTACAGCTTCTCAGACAACGCCCCCAGCCCATCCATTGGCGTGGCCAGCAGGATGGAGGCCGGCCTCGCACCCCCCCTCCACCTCAACCAGAATGGAGGTGACAATGCCTCCGTCAAAACCAGCAGCCCAGCCTACTCTGACATCTCTGATGCAGGGGAGGATGGAGAGGGGAGGGCGGAGGGGGTGAAGGTCAAACCTGAGCCTGACCAGGGTGCTCGTGAAGGGGCCAAGAAGGCGCTGTTCCCCCCTCAGGCTCCCAATAAGGACTCGCCTTACTACCCTAGCTATGACTCCTACTACTCCCCAAATTACCCCAACCCCAGCCCGGGAGCAGCGTCTGCAGCGCCCCCTCATGTGGAGGGAGCTCAGGTAAAGGTTAAGAAGGAGGAGGAGCCAGAGGTGGGGGAGGAGGGCAAACTGAAGGTGGAGCCTCAAGAGGAGAGGAAGGTGGACCCGGGGCCTCAGCAGCCGTCAGTCATCCAGCAGCGCACCAACATGTACGCCCAGCCCCTGTACTACAACCAGTACTACATTCCCCCCTACTCCTACTCACCTGACCAGGCTTACCACCTGTTGGCCTCTAGCCCCGCCTACCGCCAGCAGTACGAGGACAGGCAGCGGCAGGCTGACAAGAAGGCCGAGAGTAAAGAGCGGGAGGCTGCAGGGAAAGACGAGTGGAAGCAGAAAGCCTCAGTGCCCCCCACCCTGTCCAGAGCCCCCAGCCTCACTGACCTGGGTGCCAAGGGGGGGCCGAATCCGTCCAAACCCAAAGAGCCCCCACCGACTTTGGAACAGGCCAAGTCAGTCATCATGGCAAAAGGAGAGGACCCCAAGGCGCCCTCTGCTCAGCCTGAGGGTCTCAAGATGAAGCTGGGTGAAGCAGGGCATCATGGGAAGGAGGAGGCCAAGCTAGTTGAGTCGGCCAGGCCGACAGGTGTGGAGCCGGCCATGTGGTACAGACAGGTAACTGCATTTTACAGGAGACACTAATCAGATATCAGTGAGTGGCCAGGTATGTGTTGGTACAGGCTGTGTATATTATATCATCACCGAACTGTAGCAGGTGTGCTGTGACTGGGTGCACCTGGTCTGATGAACACCGGCAGACTGCCGTCGGGTCAAACGACATGTCTGCATGGCCATGTCAGCCATACTGTTTTAGGCTTGCGACCTCTTATCAATAAATAAAAGAACACTTTTAATTATTGCCGCCCACCAACAGCCGGGGTCTGTCCCACATTTCTTCCATTAAAGGCATTTTTTCCTCCCCGCTGTCGCCAAGTGCTGCTCAGGGGGTGTTTGTTGGATTTTCCTCTTTAACAACAGTAAGGTCTAGACCTTACTTTGTAAAATGTCCTGAGACGACTTTTGTTGTGGTTTGGTGCTATACAAATAAAACTGAAATGTAGAGAAACTGTCAGTGTCACAACGTTACAAAATAGACTTTGAAGAAGAGCATATTTTGATATTAAACCCTATAATAAATTTATATTGAGTTTAATTTTCAGCTACTTGCTCTCACTTACATTTTACTGTATTTTTTCTGTTTCATATTGAACACTCGGAGGACCCCGTCAAACACAGGCCTGTATTATTTTCCATAATCATCTCGTACCTCATCCTAAATCAGTATTTGTTCCCTGCAGGAGCCGGACTCGCGCCTGTGGCCCTACGTCTACCCCAGCAAGTACTCCGAGGCTCCCAAAGCGCAGGAGGAGGAGCGCTGGAGGGAGGACAGGGAGCGAGAGCGTGACAGGAAGGGAAAGGAGGAGAGGTCGCGGCCCAAGGAAGGCATCCAGAAAGAGGAGGCCAAGGAGGGGACAGAGAGCAGGGCTCAGCTGCCTCCAGAGGAGCACCGAGGGGGAGGGAAGGAGGCGCGACCCCCCCACATGCAGTTCCCCTCCCCCCTGGCCCAGCACCAGGGCTACATACCCTACATGGCTGGACCGTACGCCTACAGCCAGGGCTACGAGCCGAGCCACCCCGGCTACAGAGGCATGCCCTCGGTCATGATGCAGAACTACCCCGGTAAGAAGCAGCTGGCGGAAAGTTGAGCATGTTTACACCAGCTTGGTTGCTGCCTTTCTGAGAGAGAGAAGAACTGCTAACCAGTCTCTTGTCTGCGTCTTATGTTTGGAGCCTGGACGTGAGCCTAGCTTAGTGTAAAGATGTGTAACTGAGGGAAACCACTAGCCTGGCTCTGTCTACACATGCACTATCAACAGCTGTAGTGCAGTGTTGTCGACAGTGTGCAGTACTGGCCAAAAGCTTCAGAGCACGTGACTCCCCCTCAGGCCCCAGCAGAATGGGCTGGGTACTTTAATAAAACTACAACTAGTTTGGGTTTGTTAATTATATACATTGTTTTAGATGAAATATCAAATTAAATCATGTGTTACACTTTGTAGTTTCTTACTTCACTGGTGATTTTTTGACAGAAAACCAGCGCACTTTGAATGTGGTCCAGCGTGGGTCTCACGTTTGTCCTGTGACCTTTCACTGATGTTTGGTCATGTCCACATCCCAGGCCTTGCTGCTCAACTCTGATGTTTCACTCAGATGTGGTCTGAACATCAGGTCTGAGTCACTGGGAGGGGAATGCCGGCTGGGATGTGGACGCAGCTTTAGAGAAGCGTCTGTGCTGCAGGCTGAGCTGCTGTACTTTGCCTTCAGGCTCGTACCTGCCGCCTGGTTACGCCTTCTCCTCGTATGGAGGGAAAGTGGTGGCGGGGGAGGAGATGGAGAAGCCCTCCAGGTCCAGTCCCACAGTGAAGCCGTCCGGTGAGGCCAAAGCTCTGGACCTACTGCAGCAGCACGCCAGCCAGTACAACAGCAAATCCCCGTCCATCCAGGACAACAAGATGCCGCATGAACGGGAGAGAGAGGGAGACCGGCCGCGATCCTCACCCTCCCAGCGCATCCTACCTTCCCATCATCACCTGGGATACCCCCTGCTGTCGGGACAGTACGACTTGTCCTACCCCTCAGGTGAGACTCGTGCGCACACACCTGAGAAAACAGACACATCTTTCCAGGTGTTTCTGTTTGTTCTTCTTGGGGGACAACAGGCCACATGCAGATGACACATCCAGATACTTCCTGCAGAAAATGTTGTACAACTTTTCTTGTCTGGCAGCAGAGAGCAGCAGGTTGACTGCAGACTTTACCAATAACTGTTTGTACTTTTCTTTTTTACACATTAAATGTAGTTTTGTTCTTGAGGTAGTACAAAAAGTATCAAAGTCTCTGTTTGACAGCACCGGTACTTAGAGAAAACAGCAGAGGCAGAGAGACTAGTGTGGATCAAACTCCGGAAGCACTGGATCCTGCATTTCCTGTTCTGTAACTCGGTAGTTTCTTTCCTGGTGAGCCGCTGCCTCCACAGCTTCAGTTTGAAACACTCCCATCAGAGGGTTCTATGTTGTCATCATCGCTCACTGCATTCGATCGTGCTGTTCATTAGAAAACCTGGTTCAGTGAGACAGGAGGTGTGAATCTCTGTCAGCTGACATTCAAACAGCAGCACGGATTCAGATGACCTGCTGTGGCTCTGTGCTCCACCAGAGTGTGAAGTCACAGCTTCTGATGGTTGTGTCTTTCTCACAGGCCTCTCATCTTCAGCCATCGTCGCCAGTCAGCAAGCGTCCGCCCCATCCATGTACCCCCCTGCTCGGAGGTGAGAACGGTAAAACACGCACACCTGTTGATGACACGTTTCATTTGCTTTATGTGATGCACAACACTTTGCAAAGGTTTCTTTCACTGAACAAATGGAGGATGTTTTCAGAGATAAAACGTAAATGGTTTTTTCCCTCAGTGAACTTCAGCCAAAGTTCAGTAAAGAGAACAGTTCTAACCCAGACCAGTGTTTACTAAACCAGCCCAGGTCTCCTCAGTCCACCTGCACACAGTGTGTACAGGTGCTGGGCAGGGAGCTTGTTCAGCATCTTGGTGAAGCAGTGAGACACCTGCAGCACCACCTAGTGGTCGACACCAGTGGAGCTGCCACTTGCATCTTTCTCCTGCTGCGTTGGCTGAAACTTTGTCCTTGTAACATGTGTGCACATCCCTGATGGTGAATCATCTCAGACTGTTGACCCTGCTGAGGCCAGACACCACTGCTGCTCTACACTGAGTTACTTATGTTGTGTGTTGTGACCCACACAGGAAACGTTTGGTGGTGTTCTTTATCAGCACATTTAATGACGTGGTCCAAACTGCTTTGTAACTGTGGAAGCAGATTTCATCTTTATCTTTAATGTGAAGAGATCAGAAAACGGTCTAACATAAATAGGATGCCAAGACAGGCATGGGTGTATTAGCAGTGTAACACTACACCTGCTGAGCATCACTCGGAGTGAGGAGGGACTCGGTGACGCCATCTTTGCTCTCAGGCTCTTGTCTTTATGAGGTGAGATGTATGTGAACCTCCCCAATTGGGTGTGAAATTGAACATACATCTCCAAGTGGGAAACTCGTGCTTAACTAAATACTTAACCCCGTACAAGGTTTGATGTCTTAAGGCAAGGGTTTTCAACCGGTGGTCTGCTGCCCCTTGGTGGTCCATGACGGCACTGCATGTGGACCATGCATTCAACAATGTAGTTTCATTATGGGAATCACAGTTTTAAGTTTTTTTTTAGAAACGCATTTCCATGTGGTAATTACTGTCTGTGAACAATCAAATTCATGCAGATATCTAAAACCGGGAAATGCAGAGGTGACCTTCAGGATTACAGTAGTGCCCATCTGGTTGACCCACCTCAGAACAGTGGTCCTCAGGTCCTTCTCAGTTAGAAACCCTGCCTTAAAGCACAGCCAGCTCCATCACAGCTTCAGGTCAGTGCATTACCTGGCCAAAATATGACAAATCATGTTCTCTCACCTGTCTGCAGGCACACCTGATTGGCTGACCTCCACCCTTCCCGGCGTCATGTGACTGGCTCACATGAGGAAACATTTCTGTTTCAGCATCAGTTCAGTGGTGTTTGTATACGTTCGATTTGTCTGTCTGGACGTCCAGCCGACCGCTCGCCCTCACTGGACTGGACCAGTGGTAGAAAGCCTGATTCCACTGGTCCTGCTGGTCCCAGACAGTACCATTGGTGCTCGGCAGTGGGGGGCTCTCAGGCTGAGGACAAAGTGGACCCGGTGGGTGTAGACACACTGAGATGCTGCGGTCATCGTTGGGACAGACGGAGGGGCAGCTTTTTCGGAAGCAGACAGTTGTGGGCGGTGTTGGGGGTGTTCAGAGTCAAGCTGACAGACGGTCACTTCCTGTCTGACGTTCTCTGCCCTGCATCACCTCCGACACGTCTGAGAGTCAGTTCAGCATCACACCTTCACCTGGAAGCACCTCAGCTTCACCAGAAACAAAAACACTGTGGGTGGAGGAGGATGGACCAATCAGAGGGCAGCACTGGGACTGAAGCTGCATGCTCGGAGTGACAGGAAGTGGGCAGCTCCTCCTCCTCAGTGTGCAGCTGTACTGTGTGTGTGTGTGTGTGTGTGTGTGTGTGTAAATACTGTACAGAGGAATTATTTTAAAGAACATGTTGGATGCTGTTGGATTTCCTACTCTTCTTTTCGTCTGGTAGCCTCTGCCTCTGTTTTTCTACTGTTGTTGATCTGATATTAAACCTGTAGCTGGTGGAACGGCGCCCGTCTTCAGCCTCCTCATTTCTTCAACCAAAGAGCAGGGTGAGCGGTTTAAACAAAGTGCAGTGCTGTTGAGATGGCACACAAGCACAGGTGTGTAACAGCAGAAGTAGATTAGTGTGCAGGCTGCTCACAGTGAGTCCAACCTGAATCCCCTGAGAGCAGACTGAAAGAGTACCTCTTTATTGGACAGTGCTGTTACAAGGAACCTAGCTGTTGTGTTGTAAATGTCAGCCACCAGTTCATCCAGTGATCTGTTGGTCTGGAAGTGTCCTACAGTTACACAGAACTGCACTGCAGGCGCAGAAGAAAGCAAAACGTGTTCCTGTGTGCAGTGTCCTTATGCACGTCCAGACTGCTGTCACTGGATCACCCGGATACTGAAGACGACCTCAGGCAGGTTCTGCAGTGTTGAAAATCCTTCCTTGGTACATTCACACAGTGAGTTACACTGTGGGCTCCAAATGTAGCCTTGTTTTATGGTCATTTACATTTTGGAAAACTAAGTATGCCGAATTTTCTATGAATAGTCTTTTTCTTGCTATGTGCCGACAACCGTCAGTGAAGCCCGGTGGTCCACAAGAAAACTTTAAAAACCTGAGGATTCTCTGCCAGGTTCTGCAGCATCCTACTCCTGCACCATCAGTGGACGGAGCGTTTGCTGTTTTGTCTTATAATAATGATATGGTAAGCAGTGACGTGCGGTGAGGTTGACAGCTGGTGAGGCACCAACTCTTTTAGTCAGATTTACAAATACAAATAGTCTGTTAACAGACAATGCGTTATGTTTTATATCTCATATCAGCATTCTTCACACAAACGTGACCCATATTTAATTTGAGGTTAAAATTTATTCCAATTGAGCTTATTTCTAACTAGAAATAAAAGTTTATGGTCTTACCTTTACTTGTACACGAAATCCATTTGTCAGCTGGTATGTATTACAAACCCTTTTACCGTTCGAATCCAATATTAAAAC